CACTTCTCCATTCGGCCAATGCTCACCTTCACCACCTGCACACTTAAACCTCACAAACACTCCACCTCCACTTCGTTAACATCGACCGAGAGAGAGTGAAGGGTTGAGCTACTCCATATAGCCGAGAGCGAGGGAGGAAGCTGAGGGCTGCAATTCTATTTCTGGTTCTGTCCGCAAGCATCGAAGAGGGAAGAGAGGAGGAGAGACCGTGAGCAAACTCCCTTCTGCATTCTCTAAGATCAGTCGGTTGCCATCCAGCCTCCACCACCACCAGTTGCAACCGCTGCAACCCAAACCAGAACCAACAAACCTGTGAGTGAAGACTAGAGCCGAGAGAGAGGGACAGACTTCAGCACCTTGTCGTGTGAGTGAGCTTCCAGTGAGGTAAATTTCTGGACTGAAAAATGGTTAACCAGAGGTAGTATAAGCAAGCTTTGGACTTGCATGTGAGGTCTTTAAGCTCGGATGATGTTCTAAGGAAGAAAAAGAAAAAAATCTGTTTGTAAGGATTGTAGCTGCCGAAATTTTACTGTAATTGGTAACTCTAATTAGCTAAGCTGCAATAATCTGAGCACAAAATGTAACTAGCTTTGTGATAATATGATGTTTAAGCTACCAGAAATTGGTTTGGAAGAAAAAATGGTACTGCCGTGTGCTGAGCTGGGATTTTGTAGCTTTAATTCGTTAATTGTGGGATGATCAGAGTTTGTATATGTGTTTAATTCCCTGAAAACAAGATGATAAAGTCATGCATGAAATTAATTAGCCTGGATTATGCTGGAAAATAAATATGAGACAGAATCCATCACATGCAAGCTCATCCGAGAGTAGTTGCACAAAATTCTGGAGTTATGAATGTATATTGCTGCTGTCGAACTGATTTCTGGTCTGGAATGATAGTTAACTAACTCAGCAATTGTGCATGTAAGACTTAAGTGCAAAATACAAGATTTTAGCTGAAGAAAAAAATTGGATAATGAACTAAGGAGCTTAGGAAAATTCTGTTTTTATGAATTGTTGCAGCCGAGTGCTTGTCCTGTATTTTACAGCTTCATTTGATTCAATTTTGTTGCTTTAAGTTTGTAACCATGATTAACTGGTTAATAACATGATAATTGAGCTTCGTACGTAGCAAATTAATGGGTCTAAATCAGAAAAATAAAATGAACTAGAAATCTCCTACACGTATGATCGGCTGAGGTCAAGCTAAACAGAATTTCTGGATTCGTTTTAGATGAGTATAATTGTTGTTTGAATCTGGATTTGATATGGAAATCTTCACTAGCTAGCTATGTGTTTGTATGTCCTAATGGAGTACCTGAAACTCTGTTTCAACCAAAGAAAATCTTGTTTTAAGAACCATTGTTATTGCTGGAAATTTTGAGAAAAAGCCGTGAGGTTTAAACCTGGAAATTTTGGGGTTTGTAATCATGGTTTAACTTCAACTCCTGAATTGGAAATGTTCATGGTTTAGCTAAGAAATTGCATGAGGAAGCTGAGAGTTTAATAGCCTGCTTTAACCGAGAAAATAAAGTGAAAACAGAAAGTTTCTTCATGCATGATTCATCCGTAGCTTGCTGGGCAGATTTCTGGAATTTTGGGGATGCTTAAACCTGTTATTCGAATTCGATTTTCAACCAGAAATGCTAATTAGTTAGCCAAAGGTTCACGTGTTGAATTTGGCGAATTTCAGTTCAAAAATTTCTGTTTGAGCTATAAAATATTTCATGCTTATTGACCTCACTCTAGAGCATGTCAAGAGGGCCGTGCACGAGAATTTTTAGGTGACCATTTGATTTTAATCATGGCTACAAGGATGAGATGAATTTATCGGCAATTGAAGGAATAAATTTTGAATTATAACCATTGTGAATTACTTAATCCGCATTGGTGTACGTGTTATGAGAAATAATTGTTGAATGCTAAGGGCTAATGATTGATGAAGCCCTTGGCCATTTGAATGATGTTATGAGTAATACTGGGTGATGAAATTTAATTGCTAGAATTTCTTGGAGGCCTTGCTTTTATTTTTATTTGTTTAAGCTGAGCTTGCTGAAACCAAGTGCTAATGATTGATGAAGCCTTGGTTATATATATTTTTTTTTCAAATGAAATTGACTTTGTTGAAATCTAGGGCTAATGATTGAAGAAGCCCTAGTGACTTGCTTTTGAGATGTGATCTTGATTTGCTGGAAAATTTATGTTGTAACGTGATTTTGACATAGGATCGAACTTGTGAAATTTCGTGTCGACCCCACAAATCCGCGAATGTTTAAGCAACTATTTAGATATTTTGCGCTTAGCATTATTTGATAAAACCTAGTATTATAGGTTAAAGATAAAAGTTTCGTGCAGGGATTTTCTAAACCTCGTTAACTCTATATTTCTCTTTTAAACGTAAACTAGCTTTATTATTTTTAGAAAATGGCTTCACTAGTTTTAAAACCCTAAGTCTTGATCTATTTCCTTTTCTTTCCTTAAAATTGTCCCTGGCTAATTGGTTAGAGGAAAATTTATTCTAACTCAAATAGTACTAGCCGCACTCGTATAGAGAAAAATATTCTAAAGAAAGCCATACGAAACATTTCCTACTTCACTAAATTTCAATCCTAAGTGGTTGGTCGACTTGTTTCAAATAAATAGTACTAGTTACCCTCTTCTAAGGAAAACTATCAAGAACATTTTTACTAATTTTGTCAAATTTCAACCTAAGTAGATTTTGAAAACTCTCGAGTAAGTAAACTAGTAATATATTAGATAATTCCCTATACGAATAGTTTAAAAATTGAATAGAAAACTTATAGTTTCAAAACTTGGTATTCTAGGATATTGCGAGGACGCGGAATTCGATCCCCAACTTGACATCTGAACTTCACTCTTGGTGAGTGTCCCTGCCTGTTCTATGATTACTTGGTTAAAGTGCTTTCTTGACTCAATATGTGATAAATTGCAAAACTAGTTTTTGATCCATCGAAGTGAGCAGTGTGTACTTTATCGCACTAGCCGTTCGAGTGGTGACTTGCGTGAATCATTTTCTCGTGAATCCATGAATCTAAATGTAGTTACGTCGTTGGGTGAATCCCTCGACGCGTGAATCTAACTACGATAACGTCGTTGGGTGAATCCCTCGACCAATTATCTACGGGTATATCTCGAGTATACTGCGTCCTTAGTCGACGTTCGGGCCCGGGACAGGGGTATGAATGGTGACGGGTTAGGATCAAAATGAGTGGATCTACATGGACTATAGGTAGTGAGAGTTGACGGAGGGTCAACTACGATGAATGGTGATCAAGCGAGGAGAATGGCTCCTGAGAGCCCCTGTATCCTACCTTGTGTTGTTATACGCTTTCCTAACTGTTCAATTTGTTTAAATTATTTCTCGCTGTTTGATTTACGTGAATGCATGTTTTGGGGCACCACTGAGCTTTAGCTCACCCCACGTTTATTTGTTTTCCTTACAGGTCTGGAAGTTGAAAGAATTTGAGCTGCTTCTATTTTCTATGAATGTACTTGAACAGCTTGAATTTAGATTTCGGTTTGTAATGAATTCTACGTTAAGTACTGTACCTTTTATTTTGGTTGCCACTTGAAGCTGGAAAAGTGTAATCCCAAATTCTAATATTCGGTTTGTATGTTTTTATTGGTATAGTATGTCTTTAACCCTTGCGAGTGACGTGTGAAGTGTTTAAGAGCCGTCGTTTGGCTAAGTTGTATGCCGTTATCTTTGAAGCTAATGAGGTGATAGAAATTGATTTATTTCGAAAGAATTATTTCGGTAGTAGTTTAGGTTAATCCCTGGAGGATTTTGAGTTAGAATGCTTGCGTGAGTCCTGGCGAGAGCTGGGCAGACGGCCCGCCAACCCTTTGGTTCGCCTTAGGGGGAAGTGGGGTCGTCACACACCTAGCACCCCTTTTTGGTCATTGTTATCCTTTTGTCTCTCCAACAATAATCCACTTAAGGCAACCCCTAATTATCTCTTAGCACCTAATAAATTAATCCCGGTATACATAACTTAACCTAATTGGCCGAATTTTACCGAACTTACCGCACTAGTGGGTCCCACATCCAACATACACTTCTAAAATCACATGAACCAACTTATACTAGAAAAATAATTTAAAAACCATATTTCTCCCTAAAAATTATTTAAAACAATTTCCTACTAAAGAAAATACATAAAAGGCGTGTAATTAAATAAAATAAAGCCTAGAAAAATAAGAGAATTACAGGTTCTCACAGATATTTTAGGGGTGATTTGCTGAAATAAAATCAAGGTGATTAATATAATAAAGTAGTGTTCAAGTGGTGTACTCACTCGGTGACAAACGGCACATGTCGGTTCACACCGTTTTTTCTTAACTCACACGTACTATGGTTTTCACTTATAATTTACTAATTTATTATTATTACTTCTAATCACACACTTTTTTTTATCTAAAACTCCCTTTTAACCACCAAATTTAGTACACACTCCGTATCGATTACTCACACTATCAAAAGACGTAAAAACCCGTAGAAACCCTAATTTACCCTAACGATGAAAGTAAAGGGAAAATTCTTAATTCTATTCTTTATTCCAACTATTGAGGGAGTAAATAAATAGTAAAAAAAATATTATAAAGTAATTTAATCAAAATAAGAGGGAATTTTAAGAAAACATGAGCGAATTTTTCAGTCGTCACACTCTCTCCTCCTTAAAAGAATTTCGACCTCGAAATTCATACATGTATTCATAAATAACTTAGGGTATTTTTCTTGCATATCCGTTTCTAGCTCCCAGGTCTCACCGTAGCCAAAATTTAGCTAAACAATGAAAAACACGAATCGTACCTTCTACTACCTCCGATGGTTCAGGTACTGCCTGTTGGTCCAAGGCATACACTCTACCTGGCACCCTTGGTTTAGTCCCTCCTACATTTGATTGTTCAAGGTTTAGGTGTGACCTACGGGGAAAAGTTGCAAGTTGGTGCTCAGCACTACCACACCATAAACATTTTCATGTCTTTCGCCAATAATTATCCTCAGTATGAATGGTCTTCCCACAGTACCCACAAGGTACTCGAGAGGCTGAGGCCTGACCTCCTTCCGAGGCACCTCTTGCTTGCCCCCTTCCACCTGGGGCTCCTCTTGGAGTAATTTCTTTAGGTGTCCCCAAAATTTTCTTACCACCATCTCCTCGACCCACCTTAGAGGGTGGCATATCTAGATTACCTTGTCCCTGCCCTTGACTTCCACCAGGCGCACCTCTCCTTTTTCGATGAAAAACCCTAACTTGTGCCCTAGCAATTTCTATTCTCTGGGCTTTCTCCAGAAGCTCCGTAAAAGTATTAATTTGTGCCACCGCTAAGGCCTCCTGTATTTCCACATTTAGTCCCTGGACAAACCTCCTTACCCTCCTTTGCTCCGTAGATATCAATTCGGGAGCAAACTTAGATAGTTTCGTGAACTGAGTCTCATACTCAAATACACTCAGAGTTCCTTGACGAAACTTAATAAAATCATCCTCCCTTTTCTCCTGAACTATCGGTGGCAGATATTTCTTGATAAACTCCCGCACGAAATTTAACCAGATCCAGGCAGTTCCCTCTCTCTCCCATTTAGCCCGAATCACATTCCACCAGACCCTAGCTGGTCCTTCAAACTGAAATACAGCGAAATGCACCTGCCTATCCTCCGTATAGTTTAAGGCAACGAAAATATTGATCATCGAATCTAACCACCTCTCAGCTACCTCGGGGTCCGGCCCTCCCAGGAACTTAGGAGGAAAAAACTTTTGGAATCTCTCTAGAGCCCTATCTTGCCCTATGTCGAGATCCCTAGATTGATTAACAGGGGCTTGACCCTGCTGCTCTACCAGTCGAGCAAGTATATTAGTTATTTGCTGAATTGCCGTTGCTACCTGGTCCCGCCCTTCCGCTCGGGGTCCAGGTTGCGGTTCAACTGTTTCACCTCTTTCCTCTCTCGGTTCTCGTACAGGTTCTTGTGCCTGTGAGAACCCGTACATTTTCTTATTTTCTAGGTTTTATGTTAATTAATTGCATGTTATTCTGCATTTTCTTTATTAGGAAAATTTTCTAGGTAATTTGTAAGAGTAAATATAGTTTTCGATGATTTTTCTGGTATCGGTTAGTTTTTGAGAAATTAAGAGCGTATACCGGACGTGGGACCTGCTAGTGCGGAAAGTTCGAAAAAATTCGGCCAGTTAGGTTAAGTTTTGGATACCTGGTTTATTTTAGCAGGTGTTAAGAGATAACTAGAGGTTACTAAATGAGTTGGTGTGAGAGGGACAAAAGGATAGCCATGTATTAATTGGAGTGACAAGTGTCACTTGGAGATGCATTCTTACATTTGACCACTATTCACCATTGTACCAAATAAACCAAAAATCATCTTCATTTCAAGCTTCTTGTGGCCGGCTATCTTCAAGGGAAAAGAAAGGAAAACCTCTCCAAATTTCTTGCTCCAATCTTTCTCAATCCAACAAACCAACCTATTAATCTTGAAGTTTCTCCATAAAAACCCTTAGTTTAGTGATTGTGAGGTGATTAGTGAAGTGGTTTGGAAGACTAAGGTGCTAAGTTGTCTCCTTTCTTTGGATGATAAGGTGAGTAGCTAAGGAACCTCTCTTTTCTATCTAATGATGTTTAATTATTGGCTTGTGGTAGTTTAAGAGGTGATTTTGTGGGCTATTTCATGATTTTGGTTGAGATTGGTGAATTTTTCTATTTATTCATGATTTTTCTGTTTTTATATGTTTAATATTGATTGGCCATGGATGATGGTTGGGAATGATCTAAAATGAAGCTAGGGTGCGTAAATTGTGGCTATTTGCGGAAAATTTCCGCTTTGAAAGGAAATTTCAGAATTAGGGTTTCAATTAACCCCATTCTGCCCGGTACTGTTTATCCTAGTTAGAGGCCGAATTAGCCTTAGGTTAAAACACAAATGTTGTATAGAATGATGTTTTATAGTTTCCTGCAAAATTTCAGCCCAATCGGAGCAATGTAGCCTGTGAAAAGACTGAAATACCCCTGCTGCCCTGTTTCTGTCCGAAACTGATAATCCGCTTCTGTAATTGGTTAATTTGACCGGGAATACTACTGATTTGGTTGTCGATGTCTTCTTAAGAAATATATCCTAGTATCTTAGTTTTCAGATGGTTTTGGAATCACTTGAATTGGAGTTGTATGTGCTGATATATGATTGAATGAATCAGGACTGCTAGTTGAACTGCGAACTGGAAAATCTGGGGTTTTTTGGTAAATTTACCATAGATACATTGCAAACGGGACTGAGTGGCCTTCTTCAACATTGTAGCCCTTTCTCTTAGCTTCGAAACGGTGTAAATTGCACCTCAATCCGACTAGTGTCGCTTCAGTTGTGTTAGTTCCGCTAAGCAACAGCAAATCTGCCTTTTGTTTTCCAACCTAAACGTCATTTCCGCACATGTCCTAGCTTGATTCGGTAATCATATGACATTGAGCCTATTGAGTGGCTATTTATGTTGTGTGTAATGTTGGGATTGATTGAGAAAAACAATGAAGTCATAAATGGCTGGGAAATAGGTAAATACAAAGGGCGTGCTGCCCAAATTTTCGCTCGAGGGCTAAGTTTCTATTTGAACTTGTATATTTTTCATTTGGAAAATACTATGACCGTTTTCCATCTTAAAACATGATCCTTCTTCAATTGGAAACTCCAAATGTGTACTTACTCTTACCCAAATAAAGAGGGGTGGTTTAGGGTTTTCTTGGGTATTTTGACCTCTTTTTTTCATGAATTTCATTAAGACCTTTAGTGTATAATATCTACTTGAATATGAGATCATTTTGAACCATATAAACGATTCTGAAAACAGTATTTCTTAGCCTATCTAGTTGGATTCCGACTTGTCTTTAGTTTGGTTTTACGTTTGGTCTACGAAAACCTAATTATTCTTGTCCACGGGTCCAAATGTCCTCGTTTCACTTTAAAGTCTTTTTATACGTTCTACTCATCAATTGTTGAGTTTCTTTGATTTCACCTAATTGTTTGTGCTAGATGAGCTGTAATATTATTTCTCGTTTAATCTTAGGTTTTCTCGGTGACTAAGGATAATATCCGGAAGAATATTTTGCACGTTGTTTTGCATACATAGGTGAGTGTTCCTTGTTTGTTATATTCTCCTTGACTTCATGACTTGTTGTTATTGTTTGATAATGTGTTAAGTGTTTCCAATGATTTCCAAAACGAATTTTCTAGGCGAGCGTGTACTTTATCGCGCTCGACCTAAATGAAACGTGAAATTTTCAACGATTTAATGATTGATACATTAGTTGTGCATGATGTAAGCCTTTTGGCTGAACTGGGCCCTGCCCTTCGTTACCGATCGACTCGAGCCAGAAGCGGACTTGGTCGGGCGATATGGTGACCCTGGGTGTGAACGTTGGTATACTCGAGTATTACCTTGTAGGTTGGTAGAGCCTGGCCAACGTCCAGGAGGGGGTGAATGAAATGAACGATCGAACGAGGGTTTTACTTACAAAAATGCATTTTCAAATGATTGGAGGAATAAGGGGAATGACAGGAGAACGAACGAACGAACGAACAAATGGCTCCCTGTGAGCCCGTATCCTTTTAATGTATGTGTTATTATCGCTTTCCATTGTAAATGTTTCTTGAATTATTGATTATTGATGGTTAATGTATTGGCTTTGTTGTTGAATATGTGTTCGGAACCTCACTGAGCTTTTAGCTCACCCTTTAGTTTTGTTTTCCTTAACAGGGGGATGCGAGCAAGGACGAGAGCCCAGTGTAGGTTAGCCTAATCTAGTTTTTTTGTTTTGTAATGGTTCTCGCCCTAGTGCTTGGCACGGGCTGGATGTATGACGAATTGAGAACCTTTGTATATTCGATATTTGTACTTCCTTTTGAGATAGAAATGTAAATAAGTTTCGCTTTAAGTTTTGGATTGTTATTTCGTTTGATCTTGTGGTTTTCTTTCGGATTTGATTGAGGTTCGACTGAGTCCCGGCGAGAGCTGGGTAGGCTGTCCGCCGAACCCTCTGGTTCGCCTTAGGGGGAGGTGGGGCTGTCACAGTGCCTGTCTAGCCCCACTGTCACGGCTAGAACCGCGTCCTCGGGTAGTTCCACATCCTTGACTCCGTCTACCCTCCATACCTCTTTTCCTATATAAGTATAAGTAAAATAAAGTAGCTATGAAGGCCGATAAAAGCATTTTCAAATCATAAAACGAAAAATAATAGAACACATTGGAAATAACATACTTTATATACATGTCAGAGCAAGTCACATATCCTATGGGACATTAACCCTAGGTATTGCTCAAAACTTGACGAAGTACAACCAAGTACGTACGCGTGAATAGTAAGGGTCCCCAATCTCACTAATATCTTCAATATATCCCAAGTACAGACTATTCACATCCCCCTTGCCTTGGCTTTCGCCATCCAAACTTATCCTCATATTACTCGGGATACCGACTTATCATAAAGGTATCACTCTTTGGTACTTGGGTACAGGAATCCAAAAATATGATAATTCACCACTCGAGTTAGCTAGGTTCAAGAGGAAATCAATCACTTTTGAGATTCCTACCCAACATACATATCTAAAGTCCCCAACAATAGACATTTATTTCACACTTAACAAGCCAATCCCCACAGTCCGAGAACCCTCTCCCAGCACGAGCTTGATAAGAGCTCTGATACCATCTGTGACGGCCCCACCTTCTCTTGGGGCATACCCTAGGGTTTAGTAAGTCGCCTGCCCAACTCTCACCAGGACTCATTCACGCTTAATTCGAGAAAAGAACTTACAACCATAAAAAAGAAATAAAACAACGATTTCAAATTTCGCATATACACTGATGCTCAAATCCAACTACAAGTCTCATACATACCCAAATACATTAAAATGTTCACAATCCAAGTACAATCAACCCTAGTCGGGTGCTAGCGCGAGAACAATCGCAAAATTCAAAAAAACTAGACCACACTAGTTTGTACAAGTCTCACGCCTCGCTCGTACCCCTGTAAGGAAAACAAATGGCGTGGAATGAGCTAAAAGTCCAGTGAGGTTCCAAATAGCAAGTTGACCATTAGTTAAAAGTACAAGTATCAATGTAGAAAAATAGCAAGCATAACAAGTTCATAAAAGTGACCAACAACACATCAAGTAGCAAATCTCAAAATGGGCGAGTGTAAAGTTTTTCAAAAGAAACAATAACCCAATGAGTAACGATCATGTCAAAATATAAGAATATGGTTGGCTCTCAAGAGCCAAGTTCCTGTGGCTTCACCAGAGCTTGATCAAGTAGTAGTTGACACTCTGTCAACTTTCAAGTAAAGGAACCAATCCAATAGAGCACCACTTAGCTACAATCTCCGTCCACCAACCAAACCCCCTACTGGGCCCAAAATCCTCAATAAACACTAGTGGTAATACTCGAGTATATCGATTAGTCGAGGAGATAACACTCCACTCGACAAAACTAATGACCCAGGGTTCGTTAGTGAATCGACCAAGCCCTTGCCGGCTCGACTTGACCAACTAGCCACAGGGTTTCAGGAATTCCAGACAAGATACTATTCATACACATGTATATCAATTCAATTGGAATCATTGAACAAGAATATATCACATTAGGACAAGTGTGATAAAGTACACTCTTGCCCTATCAATCCACTCATATATCATGTAATCACATTGGTCAAGTATTAAACACAAATGTCAAGTTCAATCAGGTATTCGGAAGCACTCACCAAAGATGTAGTGCCTTTACGGGTCACGGTCAGGTATTACTCCTTGTTGGGAGTCCAAATCTGCGATAAAATATCGTTGACGAGCTTTGAAAATCAACTAAGGTTAGAAACTTAAATGTTTCGTTTAACAAGAATCAAGTAATTGAAATTCATTTAGAGAATATTTGTAAAACTCTTGCTCGCTTTTCAAATTGTAAAACTTTGAAACAATTATACTTTGAAATACCATTTGAGTCGAAGA